AGAGTGCTGGAATTAACAGGCATGTGCCACCATGCCCAGCAGTATTTTTTGTTCTTTTGAGACAGGGTCTCACTAGTTAGTTCCAGCTGACTTTGAACTCACTATGTAGCCCAGATTGGCCTTGAACTCAAGGCAATCTTCCTGCCTCAGCCTCCTGAGTACTGGGATGGCAGGGGTGTTCTACCATATCCAGCCCCCAGCAGTATTTTTGTTTTCTTTCTTCTCTTTTTATGGTGGTAGGAATTAAACTAGGGCTTCCAGTATATCCCCAACCCTGATCGGTTTTCTTTTTTTGCTTTCTTCCCTGCTTGCTTCCTTTCAGTGCTAGGAACTGAACCCAGGGCTTCGTGCATGGTAGGCAAGCACTCTACTCCTGAACTATACCCACTGCCCTCTGGTATTTTTCTATCCAGAAAAGGCTGGGAGATTTGCATGAGAGGGAAGGGACCCAAAGCAAAAGTCAGGCAGCTCTCTGTCAAAGATGTGACACTTCAGCTCTAATTCATTTTCTACAAGAAGTTTATCAACAGATTTTAGCGTGGTACTCCGGTTAGGCTCCTCTGTTAGCCAATTGTCATGAATGATTGATTACTAATGGGCAAAAGATGTCTCCTTCCGATCCCTACTGCCTCATTCTGGGTGCAGGATTTTCTTCATTTTAATTTAGTTTTTCTCCAGGTGAAGTGGTATAGTGCTTCCTCCTTCCTTCTCACTGCTGGCTCGGTGGGTGGAGCTGTCAGCAGAACTACAAAACCAAAAAGGCAACAGAATTTGAGAGATGTCCCTGTCATCGGGGAGGCTGTGTGGGAACAGGAGAAAGGCAGGTGGGGTCTGAAGCCACACAGGCTGGTGTCCAAATCCCGCCACAGCTGTGATTAATGGTAGGACCTAGAACAAATCGCTCATCTGTAAAATGGGATGGGCGTGCTGGCCAACTCAAGCGTGGTATCAGGTGATAAATGAATGGCAGATCTATGCCAGGCAGGGATGGGGTGGGCTCTTGATTTATGGCTGAGAACTTTTATTATTACTAATCACTTGTTTAGACTTCAGGCCCCCCACGTGGCAATGGACACTCACTGGAAGTACTGCCCGAAGCCATATATTGTCACCTCTAATGGGTTCCGCCTCTCCACCTAGGCGTCAGAGAGGGAGAGCTGGGTCTGGGGGCTGCAGAATGTCCTTTCTCCAACACGAACAATCACAAGAGCTACCATGTCTTGGGCACTTATCCACTGCTGTCAGTATTAACATGTTTTAGCTCCCTTCATCCTCACCTTGTCTCTAGGGGGAATGTTGCTTCCATTTTCACAGGTAAGGAAGCAGCTCAGAGAGCGGCTCAGTGACTTGCTCAAAATTCTGTAATACCAGTAGACAACACACTCAAAATGGTATGCATGGTTGTCCAAGTTGTAGACTGCATAAAAGACCCTGGCTCAGGCCCCAAGCTGAGACTGAAACACAGCGCATGCTCTGCTTGCTCTGTATCCTGGGATGAGGCCGCGTCTGCTCAGAGGAAGAGAGGAAGGACAACTTTCTCCACTTTGACAAAGATGCCATAAGAGGTACCAGCGGCCCTGTTAATGCCTTAGGTGTATCACCTTCTCTAGTCCTAGAACAGTTCTGTGGGACAGATAGCAATACTCTGTTTTAGAGGAGAGGAAATCCAGGCCTACAGAGTATCAGCTACGACACTTTGTAAATGGTGAAGCTAGGATTTGAACTCAAAGCCAAGCCCCACGCTCTAAACCAGTAGGCCACTCTACTGACTCCATTGTTATACGCTCCAAAAGTAAAGAAAGAAAAACATAAAATCACCTGG